CCCTTTTATCTTCCTCTGGTTGAGTTCTGATCATCAAACTATCAAAGCCAGGTCAAATGTGTACTATCTACAAGTTTGGGTGTTCTTGTGCGTCTCCTCTCACTTCATATCAGCTAGGCACTTCACTCTCAACTCTAGCCCTCTGTGGCTATGTCCTTGTCCATGGACTCAGGATTCCACAGGTCTCACCACACTTTGGACCAACCAACCCTTCCTCTTCTCTCTGTAATGGCCAGGTCAATGGGAGTCAATGGACTGTGTTGAATTCTGCCCATATTTTCATTGCTGCCTTTCCCCGTCTTCCACTCACCAGGAGCCCAACGTGGTTGCCAGCATACAACAGTGTTCTTGATCCAACAAACATTAAAGGACAGGAATGCCACTAATAACCTCCAAGCAGAAATTCATGACTCCAAAAGCTGCAAAGCCTGGCACTTGTTAGGGTCAATAAACCTCCGACTCAAAGTGATGGGAATTTCTGTGCATCATGCAAGTGTTGTTGTTAAGTGCCGTTGAGTGGGTTCCGACCCATAGCGACCCTGTATAGGATTTCCGAGGAGCAGCTGGTGAGCTTGAACTGCAGACCTTGTGGTTCAAACCGACCGTGTGGTCCAGTGCTTTAATCCCACAATGTCACACCAGGGCTCATGCAAGCAACACATGAAAATTAAAGCTCCAGGTGAGTAGGGATAAGCTTATTTGCTTATGTTGTTGTTGTTAGGTGTCATCGAGTCGGTACCAACTCATAGTGACCCTATGCACAACAGAATGAAACACTGCCCCATCCTGGGCCAACCTCACAATCGTTGCTACGTTTGAGTCCATTGATGCTGCCACTGTGCCAATCCATCACGTTGGTGGTCTTCCTCTTTTTCTCCAACCCTCCACTTTACTAACCATGATGACCTTCTTCATACATGCACATATACAAGCATATGTATCTGGTAGCACTATAGGATAAGCACTGGACTGCTAACCACAAGATTGGTAGTTCAAATCCACTGACCACTCCTCTGGAGAAAGATGAGGCTGTCTGCTCCTGCAAAGATTTACAGCCTGGGTTGCTATGAGTCTTGATGTGACACTATAGGATAAGCACTGGACGGGTTACCTCTCGGTTGGTGTTTCAAACTCACCAGCCACTCCTTGGAAATCCTATATAGGGTCACTATGAGTTGGAACCAACTCAACAGTCACTTAAAAAAAAAAAAAAAGAGTAGGAATTGACCCCACAATGGCAGTGGTTTTTTATGCATCATCTACATATCTTCTAGGAGTCCTGGTGTGGCTCTGTGGGTTAATGCGCCAGACTGCAAAGCCGCTTGAACTGTAAGGTCGGTGGCTCAAGCTCACAAGCTGCTCCTCGTAAACCCTATACAGGGTCGCTATGGGTCAGAACCGACTTGACGGCACTTCACAACAACAACAATAACAACAACAACATATCTTCTGCCTCTAACTCTCTCCGTGTTGCTGGAGTGGAGGGGTTAGCTCAGATGTCAAGGTTGCAATACTAGCAGACCCCGTAGATGTTAGAGTACAGCACTGGGCTGGTCTCAGGTACAGCGTTTTCTTTCTCAGGCAGCCAGATCAGTTACTACAGAGAGCAGAGAATTCTCAGACACTCAAACACTCAGGCTTCGGATCAGGGAGGCCGGCGGACAGCCGTGAAAGGAGTGAAGCAGGAACAGAGCAGGGGTATAAATAACCTCAGCCATGGAGGAACCACCTGTGGGCGACCCTGAGAATCCCAGCTGGGTGCTTTAGTCCTCAGCACCTGAGCCTTGTGACCCAGTGCCAGGGGGCAGTGGGGTCTGCGATGAAGTCTCAGGCTCCCACCCAGCAGCCATGGCAGCGCTGAGATCTGCTCCTTGGTACCTGGCAGGTGGCTGGTGCTTGTGTTAGAAGAATCAGAAGTGTCAAGTCAAGGGTTCAACACCCGCAGAGGGGCGGTACTCAGCACTGAACGTACCTGGATGTAAACATACCGGCTCCGTGCCTGGAGACTTAGTCCACACTAACGTGAGCCTCCAGCAGCTTGAGAAAGGAGCGCAGACCACGCAGTCCAGGAGAGCCCATCAGGGGAGCGGGCATTGAGTTTGGGACTGAATCGTTGGGTCCATTGGGGGCGTGGTGGGGTGGGTATTTTGTGATTCGTGGCTTATGAAAAGAGCAAGTCTAGAAGAGGAATAAGGAGCCCTGGTGGTGCAGTGGGTTAAGCGTTGGACTTTGACCCAAAAGGTGGGCGAGTCAAATTCAAAAGCCACTCGGAGAGAAAGATGTGGTAAAGATAGACACTCCCGGAAACCCTATGGAGTAGTTCTCTGTGAGTAGGAAGCAACTGATGGTTGTGGGCAGAGGAGAAATACGAAGTGGTGGATGAGATTTGATGGGATTTGAATTCCATGATCACAGCTAGAATTTTGGGAATCAGCCTGAAGCTCTCAATTGTCTTCTCTTGTTATAAACATCCCCTCACACGGATATAGACATACCCCCACCCTCACATATGGACACACACCACAAACATACACACCACATGCAGACACACACGAACAAACAATACATGTCACAATACATACCACATGTAGACACGCACCCAAATGCACGCACCACAGAGACACATATGTTGTTGTTGTTATGTGCCATTGAGTCAATTCCGACCCATAACACCCCTGTATAAGCTTTCCAAGGAGCAGCCGGAGAGCTTGAATCACCGGCCTTGCAGTTCAAACGGCTTTACAGTCTGGTGCATTACCCCACAGCACCACACCAGGATAGACACACTAATATAAACACACACCATAAACACACACTACACATATACCACATACACACCACGTATAGACACCCATCATACAAACGCACACACTGCTTATGTATCATATACACAATCCCCACGTATACGCCCCTTATACATGCACACACATACACACACACACACACACACAGCCGGCTCCTGTGCCTTAGGGAAGCCCTTTTGGGGCGCGGGGTGGGGAGCGGCTGGGTTGTGAGTGTGGTTGTTGCAGCTGCGGCAGACAGCAGCGTGAGGGGCTCAGGTGAATCCTGAATCTGGGTGACAGTGGCCTGGCGCGGGCCCGGGGCTGACGCCAGCGCACGGCCCGGTTTCCATGGAGACGCGCGCGGCGGCGGCGGGGCTGGCGGGGCCGCGCTCGCGCACTCGCGGGGGCTGCAGGAGGCAGAGCGGCGCGGCCGGGACGCGCTCGGCAGACATGGACTTGCATCGTGATTGTGCTGCCGAAACGCCGGCCGCCGAGCCGCCGGCGGGCAAGATCAATAAAACCGCCTTCAAACTGTTTAAGAAGAGGAAGTCGGGGGGCACCATGCCCAGCATCTTTGGGGTGCGGAGCAAAGGGGACGGGAAAGGTGCGGCGGGCAAGGCGGGCATGGTGAGGAGCCGGACCCATGACGGCCTGGCCGAGGTGGCGGTGCTGGAGGGCGGCAGGAAGGAGGACCCGCCCCACCCCGAGCCCCCTCGGGCGCCCGTGACCACCGTGGGCCCGCTGGCCCCCAGCTCGGTGGCCAAGTCCCACAGTTTCTTCTCGCTGCTGAAGAAGAACGGCCGCGGCGAGCCGGCCGAGCCGCACAAGGCTGGCTGCAAACAAAAGCGAGGGCTCAAAGGCATCTTCCACAGCATGCGCTGGTACAGGAAGGAGCGGCGGGCCAAGGAGGAGGACAAGGAGGAGCCCCCCAGCGGGCAGGCCGGCCTGATCCGCCCGGGGTCCCTCACCGCCAGCCTGGAGTGCGTCCAGGCCGGAGCCCCCAGAGCCGCCGGAGAGCCCGCCGCCGCCAGCCCCGAGGCCCGGGACGCGCTCCCCGGTGAGGCGCGCGCGGGGGAGCCGGTGCCCGCGGTCGCCGAGCAGGCTGCGGAGAGGAGCCCCGGCTTATATAACGACAGGAGCGCGCGGCCGGAGCCGCCTGCGAGGCCCCGGCGCGAGGAGAAGGCCCGGGCGCCCCCGGAGGTCCCGGCGGCCCAGGACGATGCTGCCAGAACAGGTGACGTGTCCCTTGTTGAATCTGCAGGTGGCAGTGGCCCCGACCCTGCCAGCTCTATTGATCCACCCTCAGAGCCATCGATTGATCGTATTTGTTTGCTCTTTTCTGACGTGACTTCATTGAAAAGCTTTGACTCTGTTACAGGCTGTGGAGATATTATTGCAGACCCGGAGGAGGCGGCGGGTCCCAGCGGTGACAAGAACGCCCCGGGACCAGGCAAGACAGCTCTGTCTACAAAGAACGCCAGCATGCTGGCCTACCAAGGAGGAGGGGAGGAGATGGCCAGTCCGGATGAGGTGGACAACACCTATCTCCAGGAATTCTGGGACATGCTCTCCCAGACGGAGGATCAAGTTCAAGGTCCCCAAGACGTGGTGGCCAAAGCCGCAGCACTGGACACCAAGGTGCAGCTATCTGAGACCGCCAAAGAGACCAGGCGAGTAGAGGCTGCTAAGGGTGTGTCTTTGGTCAAACGCAGGAGACTCCACCGGATTCCCGTTGAGTCCCAGCAGAAGGAGGACCCTAAACACCCAGAGAAGGAGCAGCATGAAGGTGTCCCCAACAGTGACGAAGGCTACTGGGACTCGACCACACCTGGCCCGGAGGAAGACGGCGGTGGCGGCAGCGGTAAGAAGACCGGCCTGTCCCGGGATAGCTACAGTGGGGATGCGGTCTACGATCTCTACGCCGACCCCGATGACAGCCCCACGGTCCCCCCTGCCAACGAAGACATGTCCTGCTTGTCCCGGTTAAAGCCGGTATCCCCAGTCACCATAACGTGTCCCTTGCGGACGCCAGGCAGTTTGCTGAAGGACTCGAAAATCCCCATTAGCGTCAAGCACTTCGCAAACCTTCCCACCAGCCACTCTGTGGCTCACCAGCAACCCACGCGGAGCGAGATGCCCAGAACGAAAATCCCCGTGTCCAAAGTGCTGGTCCGCAGGGTCAGCAACCGGGGCTTGGCCGGGACCACCCTGCGAGCAGCCTCTTGCCACGATGGGGCCAAAAAGTTGTGAGCCAGCGCTCAGAGGCCGAGACAAACGGCAGGTCCAGGAATACACTGTCCACTGGAAACCAGTCACATCCGTTTCTCCCCCCGGCCCCCCAGAGAAAGGTGTTAGGACCGTCCCTGGCCCCGAGCCTGGGCCGAGGGGGTTTGTGGACCTTGGGCTGTGTCAGGATGCGACAAAGAGGGGCGTTCCTTTGGGATCCTGCTCTTAAGATAAGTACCTGAGGACTATTTTCAAGCACTTTTTTTTTCCTTTTGTTGGTGGTCTTTATGTTGTTTTTAATGCACTGAACACTCCGAAGTCACCTTTACTTGCCTTTGAGGAAAGCAGGACTTAACCAAACCTAAATCAAGGTCACACCTGGGCTGTGCTGAGGATCCAGAAGGCTGGAGGAATCCAACTGTGTGACCAGAGGAGCCCACCTCTTCCAGGACCCTTCCTTCCCCGTTTAGGAAAAACAAAAACAAAAACAAGGACGTTTGGCTGTTATCACACTGTGGAAAACACCAGGTATTTATGTACCTGATGAGCAGAAGGCATCACTCACTGACAGCAAACACCCATACTTGCAGTTGCTGGGTATGAAGCTAGAGGGATAGCTACCTACTAGCAAAATAAAGGAGAATTTTGGTTTGGTTGGTTTGGCTCATTTGTTTGGGGGAGAAATAAACAGCTCAGCAGAGCAGGCTTTTGTGTTGATTGTGTGTGTGTGTGTGTGTGTGTATGTGTGTACTCACCCAGCGAGAAATCAGGAGCAGGGAAATGTTAAATGCTGACAGATCTGGGATTTTAGCATTGATCTGCTGTACCGTGTTTGTGTACAGATGAGCCTGCTGTTACCTTTATCCAGTCTGTCGGTAACCTAGGGTTAAAATTCCGGTTTTCTAAAACCATGCTCTTTTCTGTCCTGTTTGTTTTTTTTAAATGGGTTCTCTGGTTCTCAAAGAAAAAGAAAAACCGTCTCTTGTATTGCTGTTGCAGAGGAATGATTTTGTCTTGTCTAGACTAAGAGTCTATGTGTTTTTTACCCCAAACCCTGCTTTTAGAAGTTTTACCTGGGTTACAAAATTATGGATCCAACCATTCTTCCATAGGAGACACATGTAAAGAAAACCCTGGGAGAAAATAGAGGTTTTCATGACATTTGATGTTTGCCTTCCTCCGATCCATGACTGAGCTAGGTGTATTCAGAAAACAACACTGGAAAAACTTATTTATCATGATCACTTGATGCTACAAGATGGATTTTGTGTGTGTGTGTGTTTAAGTTTTTATTATGAACTGAGTGAACGTTTACAGGGCAGATCATCAGTTTTACATTCAACAAATCATACACTTTGTTTCATTACAATGATTATAATCCCCTCCATGTACCATCAGTTAACAATATTTCTCTCTATTCATTTTAACTTTTTTTTTTTTTTTGAACACTCAGCATATGTAATAATTTACACCACCAAAGGGCACATTCTGCAAGCCTGCCTCCTGGCCACCAGCATTCAGTCCCTCTCTTTCCATGAATTTAGAGTCCGCGGCTGCTCCCTCTCTCCATGTCCCCACTTCTGCCTCCATCACTGGTGTCGCTGCTTCTCTTGATCGGGTCCCACATTCTGCTTGTGCTCTTCTCCCTTGGTGGTCCTAGAGTCCTCTGTTTCTAGACTGTAAGGTTAACTACTCCCCTGTTTTGCTACAAGATGTGTTTGAAAAGCAGTTTACTATTTGTGCGTTTTCTAACATTTCGGAGGAAACGTTGCTCTCAGAAAGGTTTGCTAAGTGGCAAGCTAGTTTAAATGATAAATTGAAGCAGCTTCTAGAATGCTGTCTAAGAGTCTACTGAGCCAATTAATATCCTTTTTGAAATGCATTTTGGTGTGTTTTATCAGAGGGCCAGAGCTTCTGCTAGGAAGTGAGGAAGGACATCATTGTACCAGGACAGTTGTTGTTGTTGTTAAGTACTGTGGAGTCAGTTCCAACTCTTAGTGACCCTACACAGGGTTTCCGAGGCTGTGAATCTTTACGGGAGCAGAAAGCCTCATCTTTCTCCTACGGAACTGCTGGTAGTTTCGAACTGCCGACTTTGAGGTTAGCAGCCCAATTCGTAACCACTATGCCACCAGGACAGACACAAGTAAAACCACACAGAGCTAAATGACACACACACTTCTATGAGGGGACTTAAAAAGCTTCGTGAAAAATTTACAGTATCTTTAATTCTTTTTTCCCACGAACTTCTTGAAGCCCACTTGTGTATAACTTTCATGCTGAAGCATTGTACTGATAGTACATACTGTTAAAGGTTGGTTTCTGTCTGACAATAGAAAGAAGGCAAGTTCAATAAATGAAACTGGATTGAAATAATAATAAGGGAGTAACAAGATAATGGGAAAGCACATCTGAGGCACCACTTCCAGATAGTCTGTTCCTGATTTTGCATTTTGCAGTCATTTAAGTAGAGGTGGGAGGGGTTTGCTGAAAGTCTTGACTGCTCTTTATTTGTCAGGTTACTAGCTTTTATATGTCAGATTTCAAAGTAATGTCTTAATAGCTCGTTTCCTCTGTGCATAGATGAGGCCCTATGCTCACCACGGTAAGCATTCACTCAACATTCACTCATGTTCTTGTTCTCATTGACCCATGCACAGACAAAAGAAGTCCACTGCAGATTTGGAAATATTGCAGAAATGACGTCTGTCTTGAGAAAGAGAGCTAAGTTTAAGATAGTGTTATTTAGACTCCAAATACGTTCATATCACCCCAGTGAATGGAGAGAACACTGATTTTATGACTAGCTGCAAAACAAAGCCTCTTAACTGCATGTGTGTTTTCTGGCAAGGTTAGATTGTTTTTTGCATGAATCCGTGGCAAAGCTGTATCTGTTTAATTATACAGGAAACTTAAGTATACCTGAACGAAGAGTAGCTTGTAATAGTGAAGGTTCTTTATTTGGTAATCATTAGACTAGGAGACTGACTTTGCTCTCACATTTTTAGAATTTATTTCTGCATTTACAACTTCTATGTATGCTCTGTAGCAGAAGTAAAGAAAGATGCTGGCAAAGTTTTACCTTCTTTTCCCTTGGTCTGGTTTAAACAAATCAGTTATATAAGATTTTAAATATTTGGATATGTTAAATATGTATTTAAAGAATTTTAGCCCTTCCAATCAAATGAAGGATTCAGCCAAGGAATTCAGAGATTCCAATAATGTGTTAGGAGTCCTGGTGAGGTGTTGTAGGATAAGTTGTTGTTGTTGTGAAGTGCTGTCGAGTCGGTTCCATAGCAACCCTGTATAGAGTTTCCAAGGAGCAGCTGGTGAGCTTGAACCACCAACCTTGCAGTTCAAATGACTTGGCAGTCTGGCAATAACCCACAGCACCACATACTGGACCGCTAACAGAGAGGTCGGCAGTTCAAACTCCTTAGGTTTAAACCTATACAGGGTCGTTAGGGTGTTATGGGGGACAGCATTGGGTTAGAAAGAGGAGTGGCTTGTCCATCATTTCCAACCAGTGAAAAGAGATCAGTGAACTGGGTTATAGGTGCATTTTTGAACCTAGGGCTATTTTCATTCATGCTCAGGGAGAGAGTTTCCCAGGATCCTCAGGGATTTGCTGTCCAAATGATTATCAGTGCATTAGCTAATTACTTTGTGGGTATTAGACAGGCCCCATGTTTGCAGGGGAGTCCTGGTGTGGCACTGTGGTTAATGTGCCAGACTGCAAAGCCGTTTGAACTGCAAGGTCGGTAGTTCAAGCTCACCAGTTGCTCCTTGGGAATCCTATACAGGGTCGCTCTTAGTCAGAACCGACTTGATTGCACTTCACAACAACAACAACGTTAGCTGGGGTCTTGTGTGTCCGATTGTGATACTTGATTGACAAAGTCCTTTTGACCAAATTGACCAAAATGGGAAGGAAAAGTCAATCAATAATTGGATCTGACATTTTCAGCCTGTTAAGGAGCTCTGGTAGCGTAGTGGTTACAAATTGGGCTGTGAACCTCAAGGTCAGCAGTTCGAAACTGCCAGCTGCTCCACGGGAGAAAGATGAGGCTTTCTGCTCCTGTAAAGATTTACAGCCTCAGCAACACTGTTCAGGGTCGCTATGGGTCGGAACCAACTCGATGGCACTTAACAACAACAACAATGTGTTGGACCGCAAAGTCGGTTTGAACCACAAGGTCGGCGGTTCAAGCTCACCAGCTGCTCCTCAGAAACTCTATACAGGATTGCTACGGGCTGGATCCAACTCGATTACACTTAACAATAAAACAACCACAAATGCAGTAATCTAAAGGCAGACCTCCTTACTGCCTGTATCACACATGCATGGAGCACTCTACCTGATGCATTTACTCTTTCCTCAGCACCAGCCTTTGAAAGGATCACAATAGGAAACGGATTTTTATTATTTCACCTAAGCACAACAGCGGCGCATAGAGCCTTAATACTTAACATTTCCCACAGATGTTCGCCTGTTGAAGAACAACACTTTTAACACCTAGGAAAGCCATGATTTATTACGCTTAAAGGGTTTATTCATTAATCTCAGAAGTAGTTTTCAAGGATTTGCATTTAAATGAATATGCAAATCACCATTTTCTTGCACAGTTTCTAGGTAAAGGGATGGTGGGTATTGGATGTCAAGGGTTCTGTGTACTTTCTAAGATTTTTCATTATTTCTATCTTTGTTTAGCTTCGTTTGCGAAGGCAACTGCATTGCGAACTCTGATGAGGCTGATGCGTGTTTCTTTCCTCACTCTCGTTGTTTTCATCATATTTGCATGGTATCCTCAGACCTCTGTAATGGTCACATGATTGGACCATGTGCAGATTGGAACTCATTACCTGCTATCACATGCTCTCTACATTTGTTCCTCTCTTGGATGACAAATATTTGCTTGTCTCCAAGAGCCCTGGTGGTGCCATGTGTTAAGCGCTGGACTGCTAACTAAAAGTTCAGTGATTTGAACCCAGCAGCTGTTCCACAGGATAAAACTGAGGCAGCC